GATAGCTAAGGAGCGCCAGCGGCATGTAAAGAGGAGACAACATTTATAAGTAGGAAAGCGGAGGAGGAGGTTAGTGATGGAGACGGTTGCCTCCTAAAAGGTTCTGGCTGGAAGAGGAGAGAGAAGGAAAGGGAGGGAGGGAGGGAGAGAGAGAGAGGGAGAGAGGGATGAGAGAAGAAGAGAGAGAGAGAGAGAGAGAGAGAGAGAGAGAGAGAGAGAGAGAGAGAGAGAGGGAGAGAGAGAGTGAGGAGAGAGGAGTGAGGGGAGAAAGAGTGAGAGAGGGAGAGAGAGGGAGGGGTGAGGGAGAGAGAGGGGAAGAGGGAGAGGGAGAGGGAATGAGGGAGAGAGGGAGGGAGAGAAGGAGGGAGAGAGAGAGAGAGAGAGAGGGGAGAGAGAGGGAGAGAGAGAAGGAGAGAGAAGGGGAGAAAGGAGGAGAGAGAGAGAGAGAGAGAGAGAGAGAGAGAGAGAGAGAGAGAGAGAGAGAGAGAGAGAGAGAGAGAGAGAGAGAGAGAGAGAGAGAGAGAGAGAGAAGAGAGCGACAACAGCAAGAAATGAGAAAGGAAAAAGGGAAGAAACGAAGTGATGTACACAGGACTCCATCGAGCGAGTCCGCGGAGAGGTTGATCATCATTTCCGCCGAACTTGGCCTGTCAGCCTTTGGGAACTGTCACCCGTTACTCGACTAATTGTTATGGAAATTAATGTGTTTCCGATTCACCTTAGACACTGAGGAGATGAGAGGAGTCCGGTGAAATTGGTAGCCAGATTGAAGCAAACTAGTAAGGTTAGGCACTGAAGGATGAGTCAACGGAGGGAGATTCGGGAGGCCAGATGGGCGAGAGTGAGATGATAGGGTCGGGGAATGTGAGGGCGAGGGGGGAGGATGTGTGCGATTTAGGAGAGTATTTGGGAAGCATAGGGAGGGGGAGGGGGGTATGTGAGCCTGGGGTTAGGCTAAGTGAGGAGGAATCCATCACGGCAGTCAGTTAGGTTAAACTTGGTCCCCATACAATGCAAGTTCACCATTAAGAAGATAAAAAGGCTACAGTTTGCAATTGTACTTAAACAATATTCTGTTTTTCTTAGTTTCTTGGTCTCTTTGTATAGACTTTCCAATCCAACGCTTTCGCATTCCTCCTCTCGCTTTTCCCTTTCCCTCGCATAAGTTGTTTATTTCTTTATTGCTCCACCCTCTCTCCTTTCTTGTCTGTCTATCTCTCATTTTTTCTTTCTTTCTATCTCTCCCTGCCCCCCCTCTCTCTGCCTCTGTGTCTCTGTCACTCTCTCTCTCTCCCTCAAATTGCTAGTGATCTCGTCCGGGACGGATAGATCAGCTGCTGCTCTAAGATGCGCCAAAATATACAGTAGTCTCGAAAGTCATCCTCGCGACATGAAGCATCCAATCAGGGCCTCTGTCCCTTTCGGCCGTGAATCGGCCAATCAGGGCCTACTTCACTCATGACTATAACACAGCCCCCCCCCCTGCCTTCCCTTCTCTTGTCTGTGAATCAGAAGAGCGGGCGGGGTGAGAGCAGGGGGAGAGTAAAGAGGCAGGTTGGGAGACTCGTATCACAATTACTCTTGCATGTGAAATAGAGCGACAAAAAAGCCTGAGCGAACTTTCGTGTACACGCCGCCCCCTTCCTCTTCCTCTCCTCCCAACCACCACCGCTGTCTGTCTAGCACTGTCTGCCTCCCCCGGAGAGCGAATGGTATGACGCTGTCTTGATCCAGGTGTTGGTGGTAGAGGGGCGCGGAGGGGAGATGGAGGAAGAAGAGAGGAGAATGGGAGAGGGGTAGATAAGAGAAGGGAGGAGGGACGAAAAGAGGAGAAGGAACAGGGACGAGGGGCGCAGAGGGGGAGGAGGGAGCAGAGGTGAAGGGGGGGAGACGGGAGGTAGGATACAGGGCGACGGAGGGAGGGGAAGTAGATTCGGGGCGAGAGGGGGAGAAGGGAGGGGGATTCGGGGCGAGGGGGAAAGGGGGAGGTGGGATCCGGGGGGTAGCGGGAGATGCGGAGATGGGATCCGGGGCGGGGGGGGGTGACCCAGGGCGAGGGGCAGAGAGGGGGACACGGACGGAGAAGGGTGGAGAGTGGTGGCTAAGGAAGGGGGGGGGAGGATATGGACGGAGGGGCGACGCGCAACACTGTCTTCCCCGACGCGAATATAGCTGAGCAAGCATAGCACTCTCTTGTCTCACCGAGGGGCGGACTGGTGCTGTGTTGCCCGAGTGCATTATCCTCACGACAGGGATGGGCAAGGCTCCTGGGGGCGGGAGGGCGGGGTCGAGGGGAACCAGAGGCTGGGAGAAGAGCTTGGTACGGGGGGGGTAGAGGGAGAGGCATGAGGGGAAGAGAGAGAGGGACGAGCCCATGGGGAACGGCGAGGAGGGGGGCGACGGGATGGTTGAGGGAAAGTGACAGGGGGGAGCGAGGGGGGGGGGGGGTAAAAGCCGAGACGAGTGCGTACAGCATGTGGGGACGGAGGTGCGAATGTGT